CCTCAGTGGAACAGGCTTCCTCGGGAGGTGGGGGGCTCTCCTTCTTGGGAGGTTTTCAGACAGAGGCTGGATGGCCCCATCTGACACCACTGCGGATTCTGTGAACTGAGACAGATCACGAGAAGGGAGGGCTGGAAGGGCTGCATCAGTGCTTAGTTCTTGTGCCCCTTTCTTACACGCCCAGGGAAATGCTGATTGCCACGTTGGGAATCAGGAAGCAATTTTTCTCCAGGCTGGTTTAGCCAGGGATCCTGGAGGTTTTTTGCCATCTTCTGGGTGTGGAGCAGGTGTCACTGTGTGTGTGCGTGTGTGTGTGTGGGGGAGGTATTTGTGAATTTCCTGCATTGTGCAAGGGGTTGGACTATATGACCCTGGAGGGCCCTTCCAACTCTGTGATTCTAAGAATCTAAGTACGATTTCTCTGCTGCTAGCGTCAACACCATGGAAGAGAACTTTGTGTGTTGTGCTTCGCTGGATCCCAGCAGAGTTTTCCACAGCCAGCCCTCTAGATGCACGGTGGGTGGCAGAGGCGGATCTACTATGGAACGAATGAAGCTTAAGCTTCAGGGCCCCTCATCCTGGAGGGGCCCTGAAGCAACTTTTTTTTTAAAAAAATGAGTGAATTTTTCCACAAAATGGATGGGAATTTTTAAAATGTTTGTTATTAAAATAAGGCTCAGTGCCAGAATCATAAGCCAATGGGTTGAAGTACTTAATATTGACCTTAGAATATTCTCTGATATGCATTTCATATGGCCTCAAAATGTCCCTGTAATTGGCCAGATTTCAAAATCTTCTCGGGAGCTTGCAGCATCCAAACCCCCAGCTGTATGGGCTCACTGAGTTTGGAAGAATCATAGAATGTTACAGTCTGAAGGGACCTTGCAGGTCATGTAGTCTGCAGGAGCATAGTAGAAGATATGGGGAGTACCTCTTCTCTCATCTCTCACGGGTGACAGGTGCCCCGCCCCCTGACGTGGGTGCTGGGGGAAGGCAGGAGGGGGGAATCATGTGGTTGCTGGTAGGGAGGGTGCTGTGGGGGCGGCCACAGGCCGCCCCTCCCCCCTGGGCTGGCGTGTGGAGCACATGGGCGATTCTGCGAGGTGGGGGGGAGGGAAAATGGCTGCTTGAAGCACATGGCTGCTTTGGAACATGTCCCTGGGTGCTTTTGACTGTTTTTGGCTGCTTTGGAAGGTGTTTGGGGCCAAGGAAGAGGCTTTTTGTGGCTGGAGAGTGCTTTGAACGTGTTTGGGGGTGTCTGGGACAAGTGTTTGTGGCTGGTGTTTTTCTGAAAACTGTGAACGAGTGCTGTATGCAGCAAGTGTCTTAGATTTGTGCCATGCATGTGCTAACATTGGTTACTGTAGACTGCCTGCTCCAGAGAGAGCCTCCCACCCAGAAACCAAAAAAAATAGCACAGACATGTCCCCAGGGTCTCTTGGACAGATCCTGGGACCTCCACCCAACCCCTTGCATGCACCTCAACCTTCCTCTGTACCCCAGCCAGACCCAGAGCCAAAAGCCTCTGCAAAGAGGAAAAAAAGCGTCCTTTTAAAAGTCCCCCCTCCCAGAAACCAAAAAAAATAGCACAGACATGTCCCCAGGGTCTCTTGGACAGATCCTGGGACCTCCACCCAACCCCTTGCATGCACCTCAACCTTCCTCTGTACCCCAGCCAGACCCAGAGCCAAAAGCCTCTGCAAAGAGGAAAAAAAGCGTCCTTTTAAAAGTCC